AGAATCGATAAAGAATCGAATCGTTAAACAGAATCGAAAATGGAATCGGAATCGTGAAAATCTTATCAATACCCATCCCTAGTCTCCTAAAGTCTTATATTTAGTCGACTAAAACGATGAATTTAGTTGACTAAAGTATTCAACAATTTTAATCAAAAGTCTGTTATAATATTAAACATATTCAGTCAACTAAGGCAAGATTAAAATTCAAAAGATTTAGATGCCTAAATGTTGTTTTATGCACAAAAAAAAGAAATTAAATTAAACTAAATTAAAAGCTAAATGAAACATTTGATATAAAAATTAACACTAAAAAAAAAACCTGCTGAGGGACTAAAATCACAGACCAAACAATACAATGGCAGGTGCATGTCCTAGGGTATATGGTTTACTAAAGGACTGTGTTTCTAATTTCCATGATCCTGTAGATTTGAAGTTCATGTTTTTTATTCCTAAACAAATGTTGGCCTTCCTGACCTGTTTGTGCAGAAGAGGGAGACCGGAAGGAGGCAGTAGAATTTTGAGCACCTGCTTATAAAAAAGACAAAATAAACAAGAAAAAAAGTTAAATTAATTATGGCCACCAGGAATCACTAAGCATGCTTATTGTTATAAAATAAAAAGACATGTTTTGATGAGCATACTGTCAACATACCTGGTGTCAAAGAAGTTTCTTCTGTGTGATTACTGATGGTTTGTTGATGTTTATTACGTTGAAACACTCCTACCAATATTAGCAGAATGACCACCAATAAAACACCCAAACCAATGCAGAGCACCAGGTAGATCTCTAAGTAAGGCACTGTAGGATGACCTGCAAGAAAGATAATTGCAATGTGCATTAGAAAGGATTAAAATGTTATATATATATATATATGAAGAGTTTACATGGACAAGAAGCATGAACATAACCTGAACAGAATCGTGAAAGCCTTAAACTTGACGTGTTTTGGAGGAAAGAAAAACAGATGACCTGACAAAGACTGAATGACAACGCACAGACTAAATGCACATGGGAGGTAATCAAGGGAAGTGGAAACACATAGTGAAACAGTTGACACAAATCAACAACATCGTAGGAGAAGAGTTAAACTAAACACTGAACAAAGAAACACAAGACTTACAAAATAAAACAGGAAACATGTAGAGACGTAGACATGATAACATGATAACACAAACTTGACAACATGAACACGCAGACAAGAAACCTATGACAGACTAACACAAAAGACAGGAAAAGACACAAACACAGAGACATGGGTGAAAACACAACTAGACTAAACGTCAACTAAACCCTTACTAAGAATAACACCACAAGAACTTCAGATATTTCAATATAACCTAAAAGTTTGTTGTTAAAAAAAAAAGAGATGTCAACAACGACCACATTTTGACTACACATACCTGTGTACAGCAATCCTATGGACGTCAACACCAGACTATCATTAGATATCGAAATAAAGATGTTGCCTTATGTTACAAAACAACCAACTTCAGAACTGAACCTCCAAAAATGACATGTAAAGGCATCATTCTGATGTCTCTTTAAACCGTGGCTATGTTCATCATGGACCATATATTATTTCTCATTTACACACTTTATCACGAAGCTTTAAAATATAGTTTGGGTACTGTGGAGTGGCTGGAAGTGACACACCTTAGCTGCATCAGCTCGTCACGCCTCCCCTGCATATAAGAGTGAAATGGGTCCTGACTGTGTTGTTGTTGTGTACATGTGGCTGGCAGCTAAAAAGCTGCGGCTGTGAGTGTAAGACGCAACTGAGTAAATAAAGATGCTGAAAAGCGTTGAAGTGTGGTCAGATCCGTCTTTACTGCCACAGATACAAAGTTTGTCTCCATTTTTGGGGGGAAAATATTGATGCATCTTACTTCCAACAGTTAGCCAGCTCTCTGGTGATTCTCCAGCATCAGCAATGCTACATTTGTAAAGTCCTTCATCAGATTTGGATACAGTGGGAATCATTATGTTTCCTGATGAGCTGCTCCCAGTGGAGATGCCATTTTTATAGAATTTCGCAGTGTAGTTGGAGTTTGCATCCTTTTTTCTACAATGTAAGGTCACGTTTTCTCCCTGCGTTACAGGTTGGGGAGGAATCTCCAGGATCACACGACTCTCTAAATCTAAATGGAAGAATGTATAACAGTTATTGTTTCAAAAAGTGATATTTGTTAAAATTATACATATATGGAAATCATTAATTATATTCATTCATTACTAACAACAATAATAGCTCAAATCATTTTTAAATAGAAATCTCTTTCAAAACATATGATACTTCTGATTATTACAATGCACATGCAGTAAATATATATGTATTTGTGTTATTTTATTATGATTGTGATGCATTTTATGAAGAAAAATTATCCCTTAGTGTTATGAAAATATATATCAAATATGACATTGTGCATTACTGTAATCGATATACTTAACAGAAAAAATGGTGAATGGACTAAATATGTTAACGCATAATTGCTTTTCTATGTACATACCAGTTACAGTGACATTGACAGAGTTGCTTTTTTGTATTCCTCCATGTTCACACCAGTATTCTCCACTGTCAGCTGATGGATATGCATTACTAATTTTGCAAGGTCCAATCGATGTTTCCCAGTTTGAAGCACATGGTCTAACATCTCCATTTATCTTTTTAATCACTCTCCATCCAGTCAGCCCATTTAGCCGTTCACAGCTGATAGTGACAGCCTCTGATTGAAAGAACTGCTGCCTGTTTGGAAGAACTTGAGGAAAACCTGAATCTGAGACAGAAAATCAAATAAAGACTCTGCCGCCAATGTCTGAATATATAGAATAAAACTTGGATATATAGAATAAATGAACCTCATGTTGATAGTTAAGGTTTTCTGAATTATCTGCCTTTACAAAATGGCAACAGCAGACCTATTTCAGTAGTTTGAAGAGTTTGACAACTGTTTTGTGACAGTTCTCTTCAAACGAAGAGAAGATTTTGCACAATACTTGAGAGAAATTATCAATCAAAGATGGAGATGTCAACTGAGATAACATGTCAAGCAGAAGCTGAAGCACATGATAACACATAATACCATATCACTGAAACCGTTACACCATTTTACATCCAAGATAAGTCATAAAAATGCAAACAAATTTAACGTCACTTTTCATTAAATATATTCAGAAGATCATTCTATATATATACAAATTTCATTCCATATATTCAAATATCTCACACACACACACACACACACACACACACACACACACACACACACACA